ACTACAATACTGGGCCATGGAAACACTGAATAAATTGGTTAGAAATTGGTTTTATACCATAATTATAAAAAGTATCTAGCATTGGGTACATCTACTCCTGTTGAAGTTGCATTGGGGCCACTATCAGAACAATACAGTCGTTTGAAAAAGTCCCATTTATGATAAAGGATGAAACCACGACACTATTCTGGGGGGGTTTAGAAAAATGTTTTATTTGGCCATGTATGGCTCAAATCCTTTCTATTCGCTGCCCTTTCAATATTCAGAGACCCAAAGTAAAGTTTATTGTAAGATTAAACTTGTCGGAATAAACAAAACCACAGTAGGAAAAAACAAAGCAGAAACTCTCTTTTCCTTAACAATGAACATGAAGATGTCTCTATTTTTGCGAGAAGCGTCCTTGGTATTGTCATCATAACTAGAGGAGACACTGGGCAAACCTCTTTCAGTGAAATAATAGCATTTGCCTTGACCTTCCATTTTGCAGTTTGTCTACCCCACCTGGGTGAATACTTCAGATGACTGCGAGTCATTAATAAATGGCCATTGTATAGTGAACCATGATCACTCCTCCCTCGGAGGTGGTGGATCTATTAATGAAAAGCCTTAAAAAATCCCAATTGTAAACACTTTCTAGAATGAGAGAAATCCCACAACTTGAGTCATCACCTTCCTCAATACCTCAAACTGGTCAGCACTCCTTACAGGTGAGCAGGCAGGCATTTTCTAAACCCCCCGTTCCCCCCCGATTTTTCCTATTCTATCATCACAGAGAAAACTGCTTGTTTTAAGACTAGGTCACATTCTAATGAATTATTTCCTCGAATTATCTGAATTTCCACCACAGCTACAGCAACGGTTCAGTAAATTACAGCAGTTCACCCCATAAGGTATATCCTGTGGGGATGCAGCAAGTCATTTCAGTCTACAGTCACATTAAAAAAAATAATATAATGGCTTCATTCCCAAGAGCTAAGCAATGTCAGGCCTGCTATGGGACTTCCAAGGGAAATGAACAGACTGCAGAATTTGAGATGACGACTCAATAGTTGGCTGATTCTGAACTAAACATCCCAGCGTGCTGTTGTCCTCTCATTACAAATAGCTCTCTCTCCGTCCAAAGTGGTGTCCAGAACTCCTATGAAAAGTGACTAGAGAACTAGTACGCTGTTGCTATCAGAAGTAAAATGTGTGCAGCTGAGAAGAGATGGAATTTTTACTTATAGATTCTGGAGCTGTTTTTGTTAACATCTTTTATAATGCAAAACACTTACTGGAAAGAAACATCACCAGATCCAGAAGCTCAGGTCCAAAATAAGGGTTGGGAAAACCCCCCATTCTTATTCGCTGTGGCTCTGGTTCCAAGAAAGACTTCAGAAAACAGAGCAGACAAGATTTGAATGTAAAAAGTAACAAGCCCAAATGTTACACAAAATAATTCAGACCTTCTTATTGCATAAGGAAAAATAAAAACTGTGGGGGGGGGGGGG